GGAACCTAAGAGCCCGGCTGAGCATTCTTAGAAATCAGACAAATGAAGCGATATTCCTCGCACTGGATACATACTTCTCGATATGCAACCTAAAGGCGGCGGACGTGCCCGAGTTTGCCGAGAAAAATGATCCTCTCGTAAAAGCCCTAACCAAACTTAGGCGAACCCGGAACAAAGAAGGACCGGTTTCTCATGCCGTTCTCGAAGTTGTCGCTAGCCATCTCATTGAAGCAGCTAAGCTGCATTCGCCAGAAACTAACCTGGTGCTCCAACTGTTAGCGATTGCTCCGGGCGGGCTACAACCCGGAACGGTTCATCGATTGATTAGAAGCTGGGCTAGGCAATGTCCTACGGAAAAGGACGCGTTCAACCTTGAAATAGGAGATCACATTGGTAGTGATTCACCTTCGAGCAATAAAAAAATCGAAAAGATGCTCGAAGATGTCCTAGTTTGCTGCAGTAGTATTTTGGCGTTTGGTGGGGCAGACGATTTTGAAGGGATTGAGGATATTCCTAGAGATTACTTGAACGATCGGGGTATTGAGGCTGATCCGATTCCCTGGGTAAGAAGTACCGTTGATTTCACGGCACCCGAGCTTCGGCGCTATATCCTTGACGCGATGGCGGAGTCAGAGCAAAGCTGGCGAGTAACCCAGGTTCTTCACAGGTTATTGGCCGACGAATCATTTGGTCAGCAAGAAATAGCACTAAGGCGACTAAATCCAACTAATGACACTTCGATCCGAACACTAAGGAGGCTGGTTCAGGGGATTTATCACGGACTTATATCTCTACCGATACAGAGTGACGGTAGCTTTGACAAGCCTTTAGTAATAAACGAACGATCAGTCCTGCCGTCAGATCCACTCGCTGCCTGGAAATGGTTGTCGTATTTCGCAATTAGGAGGGTGCTTGAAAACCCCCCTATGTGGAGACTTAGCCGTGTTTGGGTCCTCGATTCGTTGAAAAGAGAGTTGAGCGCTTACGTAGCTCGGCCCTGGCTGTTGTGGCCTAAACAGACGAGACCGTTTGTTGTTTGTGAAGGAACGGTGTTCGATCTCCTGCAAAAGTCTCGCGAATGGGATGAGGCGCGTATAGATCATGAAGTATCGAGGCAACTTGCTGCATTCGTATCTGCGAATGATGACTCAACCGTTGAAAGAACTGATTGGTCATTGGACAAAGGTTCGGCGCTAAAGGTAACCAAACGACTCGTGGATTCCCAGATTCAGGCCAGTGAATTCGATCAAGCTCATTCGCAATGCAATGAAGTTTTGCGAGATCTGCTTGGTGTTCGTGCGCTGGACAGAACTCAGATGGCTATTGAAGAAGTGTCTGCCAAAATTCGAGCGCTTGTCGGAACGCTTAACTTCGAATCGGCAAGTAGCATCGGAACAATCAGCTCGTCTATGACATCGAAGGATTTTGGTATCGGAAAGCGTACGAGCGAACAAACGCTATCTGACCTGTGCGATTTCATTTCTCGATTGGCGGACGTTATTGCGTCGAGTGCGGAATTGGAATTTGGCAAGAGCAGATTGAGGGCTCGTATGCAGGGTAGAGCATTATCCGCAGAAGAAGAAAAAAGTAGCGTTGACAGGTTTAGCCTTGCGTTTGCAACGTTCCTAGCCGCAGAGTATCTCCGTGACCTGTGTTTCGATACCTACCCTCTAGGGCGGAAGTCCATCGCCTCATCTAGGCCAGCACGCGCGCGTGTCCGAGTCGCACTAAAGCTTGAGTGGTTTTCACGCAATCGGGCACGCGACTATTCGAATTACGGTGCTTTTGGAGTGTATGCGATCCGCTCAAGCGACCTTCTGGCATACGAAATGTTTCATTTCGCGCGTGAATGGGCAAATTTACTCGTAATTCAGTCGAACGTTGTCCGGGTGTTGAGTGTTCACGATAACCAGCGCTTTTCTCTGGGAAAAGCACAAACCGTCTTATGGGAGGCTGAGTCAGTTATAACCGAGATCGGATGGGATGTGGAACTGAGACTTGCATTCCTGCTTGAACGCGCGAAGGTCCATCGCGAATTGGCTCTATGTGAGGAAGTAGAGATGGAAGAAAAGATTCGCTTACTTGCTTTGTCCGCATTCGATGTTAAGAGGTTATTCAACTTATCCCATGAAACAGAGCTGGCGTTCTGGAGTGGATTAGCCAGGGTGCAGTGGAATAAGCTACGGTTAGCCGTTGATCATCTCGCTCTCCGATCTCAGACCGCGCTGCTTAGGAGGCATCGGTTATCGGATTTGGAAAGGGATTTGTTCTGATGTGTATTTCGGCGAAAGTGACCG